CTCTGCGGCAAGACCTCTGTTTTGACGTCGTGACAATATGATGCGCTGGTCCAGACGTGTCACAGTCTCGTCGCGTACGTCGTCAAACAGTTCCCACCAGATAGTGGCAGATACCCGCGGGTGGGTAAGTGCCACAGGTGTTTGACACTATTCAAGTAATGGTGAAGACACACATGAGTAATTTAAAAGCCTGAGTGTTAAGAAAAAATTGACATAGGCAGCGTTCACCCAACGAATGCAAATAATAAATGTGAGGGTCGCAGCAGTAATCAAACCCCAGCAATCTGCGTGGCAATCAAGTATTCTATCACAGAGTCACGCCATATCTCTGAACTATTTATCAAATAGACCCTGAAGTACGCGAAACGTTAATTGTGGTTGCGTGCAGTGCTGGCTATTCAGTTTTATGAACATTACATATATACTCCTATGATACAGCCATCGCGTTGAGTTAACGTCAACTGTTGTTTGGTGCAACTGTTGAAGGTGATTTATGTAGCAGTGTCATCATCGCTAGCACCAAAGCTTCTTATTAGCTTATTGCTTTTGGTGTTGCTAATACTCATGCTCCTGGTGGCATCATTGTGCGAGTGCAAACAACTGGTTATATAGATATGTGTGACTGCTCTAATTATGTCTGTGCGTGTGACATTTGTACATTTATTCAACGTCAATTTATAACGTGTTGCTCAATAAAGAAATGCAACACGGTCACATTCCCTCCGCATGCTTCGCATAATGTCAATTAACAAGGTACGTGAGATCTGGCAAATTCAATTGATTAAGGACATAATCGATTTATTGATTAGTTGACTGAAAGGGTGTATATTTCTGGCATCTTTTAGGTTTTTTCTGAATGTACACTTGAAGATGGTAACTTCGCCGTCTTTAGTTAGCCATGCCAGACTTCAAATCATGAACGTGCTCTAACCCTGTAAAACGTTCTTCACAACGCACTACAATACAGTCGTCTGTCCCTTTTCATTACAGTCGTCTGTCCTTTTCCATTGATCAGTCGCTTGAAATCCCTGGCAGTTTGCCGGTCAACCTCGAACAATCGATTACAAATGCAGACGAGGGTCCGACTTTGGGACCCTCGTCTGCATACTTTTAACTGCGAACTTTGTATTTTGAATGAATAAACTGAACTGAACTATATCGTTGCGAGTGTCCAGTAATGGCTAAACATAGAATTTCATATGGTTTAAAAATCCAATCTTTGTGAAGTGTGTGAATGAAGGGGAGGGGGATGGCAATGGAGAGGAGTTTGGGATTGGTGAGATCCCGCGAACTACGTTATTTTCGACACACCGAATACGATACGACCGAGTTTTAAATTGAGAGCCCGTATATTGATTTCAAGTTGAGCGCGTCAATTAAATCTTCGCGTGATTGTCGGAGGGAGGCATTGGACCGTGCACCTGCCTGAACGGAATTCTCTCCGTCTGCTGCGAATAATTCTCACAGCGTAGTGGTTTTGCGAAATCCAGCTTCAATTCGATGATTGCGCCGCGACCGTGCATACGGTACCGGAGGATTTGCCTATGAGGTTTTCGTTTCTCTATAACCATTCCTCCCTGCTCCGCGTAACAATATCTGTGCAGTGCCTATAAAAGACTTGCGCTGAAGAAGTGGGGGGGGGGGGGGGGTTGCGGGTTTCAGAATTGCTATTTACAACATATGCGGCAGCGCGATTTCGACTGTTTTTTGCGGGGATTCTATGACACGGAGGCATATACTTGATTCTAAAGGCACTCTTATTCACTTCGATAAGTATTTGAAAGTTATTTGTCGATTTTTAGACGTTGCGTTGCTTTAAGTATATTTGTTCGTTAAGTTCGTGTAAAATCCCGTATTTTCGATTTTTTTTTCTCTCTGACCAACAGCTTTTATACTTTTATTTTTGTTTTACCTTAGCGAAACACGTTTATTTCTTCGTCAGTTCACAGCTGTTCTGCATTCTATTGTTTGAGAACGTCGTATACTAATAAATAAATAAAAAAATAAAAAAATAAATAAATAAATTTAGTAGGTCAGGCACGTCTATGCCAAATTTTACTTGTCCCTAGTTTCGCGATGGGGCGAGGATTCCCAAACTTTTTCTTTATCTGATGTTTATCATGCTGTACTTAACAAATGCGAATAACATTTCTTCGCAGTGCTTTTTCATTTGTTTCGCATTGTTTTGTGTCACGAAAACGGGCTCTTCGATCGGCAACTCTTGTTTCAATCTATTGGCAGCCCAGGCATTCTTATAAATGCATGTCGCAAGAAATGCTCACTGCGCGCAACTAATTCTTACCGTGACATAGCTCTCCCTTCGACCTGTATTTGTGCGGACGTTAGTCGGAAGTGCGCGCAGTCTGGCGAGTCACCTCGTAGTCTGGCTGCCCGCCCGGAGCCTGCTTGTCGGTGGGACTCAACTGCGAATGCACTGCACGGAATTAGCCGTGGAGACCCGAATAGCGTATGCTTCGCAATTCTCGCGCACAGCGCGAAACAAACGCGTGCGCGCACTCCCTCAGAACCTCCGAGGCCTTAATGCGACGGAAACCGAAGTTCAATCTAAACGCCGGACAATGTTTCGGCCAGGATTTAATCAGTTCTGGGAATAATTTTTATTGCTTTTTTTTGTCTTCCGCGTGCTACTCAAGCGATGACGAGCAGTCGTGCAAGAGAGTGAGAAATGTGCGGCGGTGTATGGTCAAGTCAGCGTGGGAGTATGGGTAAGCTGGGAGGGAAGGCATTGGCTTGGAAGGGGAGTGTTGTGAACGAGAGAATGGGAGTATTCTGCGAGTGGAAGTATAGGCTTGCAGAGGGGGAGTGCTATGGACACGAGGACTGGGAGTAAACTGGGAGTGGAAGCAAATGCTTGGGTGAGCTCGGGATTACGAGTTAGCTGCGAGGGGATGTTAGGCTACGGGGGGAAGGTATTATGAACACGGTATTGGGAGTACGCTGGGAAGAGAGTATGGGCTAGGGACAGGGCATAACATGAAAAGAAAGGGAGTAAGCTTTGTAAAAAGTAAGTTAGGAGGGGAGTACTGGGAGCATTGAAATGGTAGTAAGGGCTTAGGAGAGGGAGTATTGTGCGCATGGAAGAGGGAGTAAGCTGGGAGGAGGAGCATGCACTCGAGAGGGGGGTATTGTGAATATAGAATGAGAGCACGCTTGACGGCGGAAGTCGGAGAGGGAGTAACTGGGAGGTAACACGACATCGGAGTTTGATTTGAAAAGATGGTGGCGACTCGCACGTGACAAGGGTGTAGAAAGAGACTCATTTGATCTTTTTTCATCATTCTCTCGTATTGTAGTGAGAAGCGGCGGTTCGGCGGACTGCTTGATTGAAAGTTTGTAATTGTGTAGGCGGCAGTACGGCGCACGCCGTCTGTCTGTCATCTCTTTTATTTTATTTTTTTCGAGAGCTTCGCTGAATCCTCGCACTTAATTAAGAACTCGGAAGCAGCGTGACAGATTTGCAAACGCTAGCTGCTCGACCTTTTACGCCGAAAATGATTTAGACGTATTGTGACAGCTACGCGAAGGGAGGAGGGGGGGGGGGGTTGCTGTAGCTTCGTAGTCTAAACGAACTTGCCCGGAGATTAGAGAGACATCTGCGCCACGCTTGAAAGAGCGTTTTATGACGGCGATTAAGGGAGAACTCTCCCCTTCACCCTCACCCCGCTCAAACGGAATGGGACACCTGCTGTCTCCGAAGCGGCGATATAATTGAGACAATTCTGCCGGGAAACTTTTAGAAAAGAGTCGCATATTTGACATACCTGAGGGGATTAAAACTGAGGCGACGGGTGCTCGTCTTTCTGTTTTTTTTTTTGTTGTTAGGATTGACAGGCATGCTGTTTTCAACTAGGTCAACGAAGAATTTCGTTGTGAAACGATGCGCTGCTTCTGCTACGATTTCGTGTTCCGACTTTTATAACTGTCTGGCACTCTAACAGAGAATAAACGCGTGTGTGCGTGCGTGCGTGCGTGTGTGTGTGTGTGTGTGTGTGTATGTGTGTGCGTGCGTGCGTGTGCGTGCATATATACGTACGGACACGTCGCTATAATGAAGGCTTTTAACTTCAATCTAAGAACGAATGTAACTAAATGAAAGAAATCGGAGTGGAATCAGATTACCGGAAAAAAACTGTTTTACTGAGCTTAACAAAATGTCGCCGCAAGTGTCACCATTCAAATGTCAGTTTGCTGACAACATATTTCTTCTTTGTGAACTGGTGTGTTGTGGGGATGCTTCATTGTCCTGTAGAATTTGGTCTAAGTGCGTGAGTGTTCATCCATGTGTCTATTTTGGTAGTTTTGCCCTTCTCTACTAGTTTGTTGTGGTAATCATTATGCAAGACAGGGGGAAATTAGCCTTGGCATTGACGCCGACCTCTCATCATATACTTTTGAAAGGGTACTGAGAGCACTTTCTGAAACTGAGTTTGCTCCCCTTTACAAATTTCCTGTATGCATAGATGGCACTAAGCAAGTGTGAAGCTTGGAAAATGCTCATATTTCATCTTGACATTAAAGTCAATTTTTCACATGGCGCACCTTTTGACATCGGTAGTAACATGACGTCAGGCTGCTGTATGAATTCTGGTGTCTTTATGCACCAGTATGGCTAGTTAGGATAGCTTCAGGTTCCTAAACATTCAATATGGCCGATTGTGCATCACCAATGGAGCCACGGAGCTGAAGGGCTGTGGAAACATCATGATATCTGGCGAGATCCCCAAGATGATAGTCTCCTACCGTGTCGCGACGTCAGGATTCGGTAAGAACGAGGAATGGCTTTTACAAACACGTGGTGATTAATTTTTCAGGGCCTACTCACGCTTATTAGCACATTTTCTAGGCTATTGGAGACCTGGCCGTTCATTTGATTATTAAAATGAGAAGTGATGATTATTGGGTCAGTACCCCTTTCAGTAATTCAGTAATAAAAAAAAACATGTTAACTGACTAAGCTCTCGCCTGTCTTATGCCTGCAGATCCGTGAGCACATGACCCCTGTGGAGGCGATGGCATCGCTGATCGCGGCCGTCACTCATGATCTTGACCACCCGGGGGTCAATCAACCGTTCCTTATCGCTACCTCCAATCACCTGGCTGCACTATATAATGTGAGTAAGCAACTTGATGTGACCCTTAGCGTGAAGTCAACTATGACGCTTACAGCCATTCCTACAATGACGTTAATTTCAGTCACGCTTACTTCGACGCTCTTCGTGTTGTTTAACTTCATGCCTACTTCACACTTGCCGTGACACTTCCGGCGATGTCTGGCCTGCTGATTGCCGTTATTCATACAGTGGAGTTTGCCATGACGCTTACAGGGATGCCTGCTGTGACATTTTAGTTCAAGCTTGCTCCGACGCTTACCATAATACTTGAAGTAATGCCTGTCATGATGTTTGGCTTTACGCTTAAAACATGTTACGCTTGCCATGATGTCTTCCGTGATGCTTGCCATTACTCCTAACAAGATGGCTACCGTGAAAGTTTAAATTCAGGCTTGAAATGAAGTGACGTTTAAATTCAGGCTTGAAATGAAGCTGCAAGTTAAGGCTGCGGTTACGTTGAAGTTTTTGCTTGACTTGACACTTGCGATGAGGCACCAGTGATGTCTGCAGTGACATTTTCGTTGCCGTAAGTGGGATGCTTGTCGTGACGACCCTTGCAGCGATACTGATTGTGAAGTTTAATTTTAGGCTAGCCTCTCACGCTTACTTTGGCGCTTGTAGTAATGCCTGCCGTGACGTTTTATATCACGATTGACGTGACGCTGTGATTCTTGCCATGATCTCTACCTCAATGCATACCGTTACTCTTACCATCGCTAACCCTGACGCATTCAGTTATGCTTGCCATTATGTGTAAATTACTCTTGGTAGGGGGCTTATTGCTGGCTATACCTTGACGTTGGCAATGACGGTCATTGCAATACTCACTGCTTCTACATTTTAAAAATTTCAGACAGCTTTTTTGGTAAGTCGCGTATGAAATATAATGAACCTGACACTGTTCTTTGTAAATATGAAACCATGGTCTTATTTTCAAAAAAATAAAAAATAAGTGCTATGATAAAGTAAATAATATAATCGATTTACTGGGTGGTTTAAGCAGTAGTTTCAAAGGCATTGTTTAAATTTAGAAATAGAAGCTAGTTCGTAGTGTAGATTAGCCAGGAAACTAGCATCACTAACGAGGTTGAGCTGCCTGCCATTCGTTTTCTGGAAGTTTTCTGGAAATCTCTTTTTAAATAAATAAAACGAGTTGAAGTAAAACTTTCGCCATAATTTCTAGCCGATTTTGGGGAGGAATTTTTTTATAGTAGAGAAAGTGTCACAATTTCTGTCAAAGTGGCTTTCCTTCATTAGATCTAAGGTTTGCACATCTCATTTGCATAATATGTACTGAAGGAGTATTTCATGAATTCTTGAAAGTTTATCAATCTTTTTCTATATATTTGGGAAATCGTTGGGGAAGTAGATTTTGGCCTCTTCGATCGGGTAACATAGAAGCCCAAAAGTCATTGTGTGTTGCTGTTGATATTTAACAGAAATATTCCAGTAATATTTTAAAGAAATATTCATTGTATGTGCACGTTGATTTGTATAACACAAACACAGCCCTTGGGTTAGTTGCTGGTGTGTTTTTCTTTTGTCTGTAGAATTTCTCGGTGCTAGAGAACCATCATTGGCGTTCTGCCGTGTCCTGCCTGCGTCAGTCTGGGATTTTCGATCACCTGGCCACTTCTGTATGGTGAGCAGTGTATACCCACGTGACGGGGTTGTTGGCATGCCAGGCGAAGTCGAATTTGGTTCCCAACTTAGAGACATGAATTAAAAAGCAAAGGAAAAAAAGATCCTGTACCAGGTGTTTAATAAAACTGCCCAACATAGACCCCAACTTGTACTTGCACACTTCTCCAATCATGTCCGTGTACACCCTCAATAGCACAATCAAAGCAAAAGTGTTTAAGTGTCCCTTTTTTTGAATACCCTTTGCGTGTGCGCAGTATTACGTATATGCGGAGTGGGCTTTTTTCTTGTGTATCGTTTTACAATAGGGATGTCTGCCCGATTTGTTGGTAGCATTTGGGACCCTCTTCAATGCTTATTTGTTAGGAACGCTCTCACAGGCCAATGCCAACACGTTTCTTAACTCTGTTCACATCGATTTCCCTAAACAGCGTATCTGCCTTCAGCGTATGTAAATGCAATTCGTTCTCATCGTGATGCAATTCCGTGCAGGGATGAAATTGAAGAACAAATTCGAAGCCTCATCCTGGCAACGGACATCACTCGGCAGCAGGAGTTCCTGTCCAGGTTCAAGGTGAGTGCCCTTCTCTCTTGATAATTATCATGGCTACCATCATCATCTGCTCCATGAGCTACACCAGAACAATAAGAAACAAAATTATAAAAGAGTAATTGTAGGAACATAGTTAAGCACCCTGATATAATTATTGGAAAAATGTTACTTATCAATACTTAAGACGTAAGGCACAATGAAAAAGTTTTTTTTTTTGTGTGTGTGTGTGTTGAACACATGCTTACTATAATCTTCGCCTAATTTTCACTATGCTGCGAGATTCGTGTTCTGACAGACCCTGCTTTTGATTACTGAGAGTTGTGTATTCCTGTATTTTCATGTATACTTTTTCAATTACACAGCGATACTTGGAGAACAACGTGCTCGACATGGCAGACAAGGAATACCGTCACTTCATTCTCCAGGTAGGCTTAAAATATTCAGAAATATGCCAAAACCAAAGCCAGCACGCTACTGTTACTCCCCATGCTACCGCCGTTATGTTCCTTTTTTTGCTCCCTTGAAATAGTGTTAATGAAACCTAATGCTTGAAAATTACGTTGAATTTTCGTGAAGAGCTCAGTCTTGTTTAATAGTGTCGAGAGTTTTTAACTGTATTGGTCCTTTGATGGGGTTTTTCCTTCTCTCTCTTTTGCTTTGTATAGTTCTTCTGCAATTTTAAGAATGACTTTAGCATATGAGAAGTTCTTGAGGCATAAAAATGCTGTCTTATATATTTCGTTTGGCTTTCCTTGAGGAGGGAAGTTGTCCCACATAAGCCTCCAGAAAGCAGACTTTTTATTTATTTCAGTGTGACGAGTGCCAGTGATGTTCCGTGCAGGGAATTTTCCCTTTTTCAAAAAATTTTCACCCGTCATTATGGACAAAAGAAAAAAAGGGAATCTGTGATGTGGCAGGGAATTACGTAAATGGGTAAATTGACCAACAGGGACGGAACATCACTGATGAGTGTTTGTCTCACCTTTCCCGTATGAAGATTGCTCTGAAGTGCGCCGACTTGGGAAACCCCTGCCGTCCCTGGGATATCAGCCACCGGTGGAGCCTGCAAGTCTGCAAAGAGTTCTACAGGCAAGGTACGAGGACACGGGCCAAATTACCTGTTAAGTCAATCGCTCACTTACCGCGTGAAATCCTGATCCAAACTGTGTGTTTGATATTTGGCCACAGCCGCCTTAAACAACCCGGGTGGATTTCATGGCAAGTGTGTGCTCTACCTCGGAGCCACGTGTTTGATTGTGAATACATTAAAAATAACTTCCTCTATTTGTAAATACCGTGAATGTATTTTATGCTTTACAAATACACACGTCCTGTCTATACGTGCTTTATAACACAACATTAATATTATTTATTTTTATTGCATACACAGATACACAAGGACACAGAAGGGAGAGGGAGAGAGCAAGCTGGCAAATGCCACCTAGAGGGGCACATAATACAACAAAAAATATTGCAAGTAATAATTCATGGTACAAGGGTGCAGTACGATCAAGCCTCAGAACATGTGATGATCATAATGGACTTTATAGTTTAAAGCCGGTCACCCACTACAAATGGCACAGACGTTACTGCGTCTATTCTCTTAACGGAGTGCATAGAAAGTTCAGAAATATTTTATGCACTGAGTGTTTGAAGTACATACTAGGAACAGGATATTGCTATCACGCTCAACTCCTAAAGGCAAAGATTGAGGATCTCCACATTTTTTTCTAACTTGGTTTAAGTAACACTTCCACCCCCGCAAGTGAAAAAAGTCACGATTTCACTGTAAGGGTGAAGGAAAGAATGCGACAGCAACAAATTGGAATGTCACGCTGTGAACGGCTAGCAGATTAAAACGTGCAGCCGACTGCTCACGCACAAGTGACGCCTGAAAACAAGACACAGGACGAGAGCGAACTAACAACATTTACCGCTCGACGCGTAATGTGCTGGTTAAACAAAAACGATATACAAAACGTAATCACGGGTACAGATGAGTGCAAACTAATAATTGTCTCTGTTGTTATACCTCGCTGTGTATGATTAACGCGCTGTCTTCGCAATGGAGCCAATGCAGAGATCAAAGTGACCTTTGTGAGCCCGGCAACTTACGCAATTGTTCAAGTGAAAGCCGAAGGCGCACGATTCTCCTCACCAAGGGATAAGTGTGCGCGCACGCATCTAACCCCCCACCTCTCATTCATGGGGCAAAGTACGTGAGAAATAGACGTGGGTCGGCGCATCGCTCGAAGCCGTGCTTATCTCTCTTTCACGCGTACTTTGCCCCTTGAGCGCGGGTGGCTTTTTTTCTTTCTCGAGTGTTCATATATAAAGATACTGATACATATACGGTGAACGATGGCAGCGGTGGTGCCAACGGTGAAAAACCAGCCGAGACCCTTGATATATTTGCTATCGCAATAAAAGAAAGTCTTCTGGTTTACTAAACAAGTTTTTATTCAGCCGCAAGTTGGCAGGAGTGCATTTTACTTACCCATCGCAAGGTGCTGTGTGATAATGCTGGGCTGATAATTTTTAAGGGTTACACTAACCGTGAGGATATAGACAACGTGACAGTCAGAAACATAACAAAATGTTTTTGTTAATAATAAAGAAAGTGCACTTATTTACTGCTTAACTGTGAGTATTACCTCTCGTTTTGCGTGGCTCTTCTCAAGAGGTATCTCGATTTACCGGGTTGCTGGCTTCTTATAACTTACCAAGAGTTTTCAGTTTGACACAGTTGATGCACTGCTGCTTGTACTTCTGCCTTATTTAGTAATTTGTGGTCCTTGCTGACATGAGCGTCAGTCATAGTTCCTTAGTATGCACTTACATCATATGTGGTTTCCAGGTGACTTTGAGAAACGGCTGAACATCCCAGTCACTCCAATCTGTGATAGAGAAAGGACTACGGTAGCTAAGATACAAGCTGGTGAGTTTGGCCTGTTACACATTTGAGTGAATGGCACATGTTTCTCCGTGAACTCGCCTCCCTCTCAAATCGCTTCTTGTTAAAGGCAGTGTCCTGTACTTTTCATGCTTAAGTGTTTTTCCCAGCTCCACTCGCGTTACTATTCGCTACCCCACATCGCACTTTCTAACTAACTGAACTACTTCTGGTTGTTATCTTGAACTGCTTTTGATTTCCAACTACGTGCTGTACAGAGAGTTTGATGGCACCATATAGGCGCAACCTGACTGGTGCCCACTTGAATGTGGCCCACCTCAGTCTGAAAAAACTGAACCTCGAAACTTTTAATAAAGCTTTGTGAATAAACTAACGATTTCAGCCACAAGGCATTGCTGCATTAAATGTCTTATTGGGAAGTGGTCGTGAGAGCCCACAACATTTTATGCTTTTGTCGTTAGCTCTCTTTTATCAGGGCTATTGAAATTAGAAGCACCAATCTTAGTCACACAGCATTTATCGTTTGCTGTGGTATTAGTTGCAACAACATTACCCAATCTTCATTCTCATGCGCATAAAATGTGCATAGAATGTATGCTTTTTTTCGTATTCTTCGTGAAGATTACGTACTAATGTGCAACTATGATTGTATAATCTCAAGTATGTTGATATGATCTGTCAGCACTAAACAGATTTCACAGTTGTGTATAAATGTATAGCATATGTGAATTTCTTATTTATCTTAACTTTGCCATTCAGCACAAAAAAGGGAAAAAAAGAAAAAAACAGTTATGTTATTTCGCATTACTTTTTCTTTGTCTTTTTCCTTATATATTTATAGTTTGTGTCCTTCCTGCAATAATTCCTTAAAGGATTGGCAGTATGTACTAAATAAATAAATAAATAAAATAAGCCACTGCACACTCCTATGCTTAAGATAGTTGTGTTATAAAGTCCAGATGCTTTTAAAAAAGCTGCGACCACAGGTACACCGTTGGTGTCAGGCTGAGGACCTAGCACAACTTTATGAGCTATGGAATCGATCAAAAAAGGAAATCAATTTGTGTTGTACTCGTGGATGTGCTAGGCTTGTATAAAATATGTTTGCAAGTGTCTCTGAAACTTGACATTCATCACAGTTCAGACACGTGTGAAATCGCGTCAACAAAATTGACGTGTTGAGGTATGCCACCTTAGTGGGGCTGAATTAAGGTTATAAGTGGAAAATATGAACACACATGCACGATGCTGTGTCTTCATCTTCTCTTAAATATTCTCCCGTTCCGCTGGCGATATACTAGCATTTCAAAAGGCAACAATGTTCGCCACAGCAAGGGTCGCCTGTGCACGCGCTTTGTCTTTAAGTTTCGACGGGAACAGCAGTTTGTTTTCTTTATGACTAGGGAAAATTGGGCCTCAATTTGAAGCCGTACCCACACTACGATGGCGGCCACTGCCACTATCTTTGCGGGCCAGATAAACTGATAGAGTTCAGTGAAGAAAAAGGAGTGCTTTGCTTCCATGGAATACTAGTTTAATATTGCAAACGTTTCTGGGCAGGTACTGCTCGGTACTGCTCGACGTAAAGCTGATATGCCTTGCGTCACTGATTTAATCAAGAAACGTCTAAACGTTGGCAATTTGGGTTGGAATTCAAGTCATAAATTCTCATCTCGATAGGTTACTTTCGTTATGAACAGGGAACTGTTGTACAACTAACCTAGCATTCACACCAACAGAGTGAAACAGCCTTATCTCTAAATGGGCACCGCGTGAGAAGGTCATGTTTCCGAGATAAAGGGTGGGCAAGCCCATGCTTCACTTAGCCGGTAAAGCGATGTGAAAGCTTCCATAAAACGCTCCTTTCAAACCTGCTTGGTTGCATCTTACCATCACAGACTTCTTCAAGTACGTGGTGAGCCCGCTGTTTGAGATCTGGGACCAGTTCTTGGACACACCTCTGTCTCACGAGCTGCTGCGCAACCTGTGGCTCAACCACGTCCAGTGGGAGAAGAAAGTGGCTGCGGCTGATGACTCGACCGCGTCGGCGTCTTTTGAGACGGACCTCAACGCTCCGCTTGCTTCGGAGGAGGATGAGGGCGACCTGCTAGACTTTGACGACGAAGACGATGAAGAGCTGCCGCCGCTGCTGCGGCGCCGCAGTGCCACGGTGGCCCGCTACTCCTGGATGGAAGAGACGTTGGGGTCGAGTGCTTGGGGACGACGACACAGTATGCCACTCAGCGTACCCAAGCTGCCATCGCGGACCGTCATCCGGCGTCGAAGGCAGTCGCTGCCCCTCGCGGTGGCCAAGGGTGTCACCGCGGCAGCAACGGGAGGCCTGCAACCGCCGGAGGTCAGTCGCGGCCATGCGCTGGAGCAGTCGCAGTTCCGGGACTCACGCGTGTGTCCGATTGGTATTCATTACGATGGTGATGATTGTATTATGTGGTGATAATATCTTTCCTAAAATGGGATGGTTTCAAGTAGTCTACAGAGAAAGAACAGAACAACTGGATGAGTAGCACAGATTGAGAATACTATACAATGAAAATTTTTTTCCTGTGTACGAAAGAAGGAAAACTGCTCAAAATACTTGTTTATTGTCTAATCAAAAAGGCCTCTCGAGAGGTTTTGACACTTGTTTGCATTCCGGATAATTTACACCTTAACTTCTTCTGTGACCACATCCTGTTCCTGCCAGATGACCAGATCATTTTGCCTGACCAGATGATTTTGTCAATATTTTTATATTATTAGGTGGTAGGCTTGTACATGATCTTGTGGGCAATACCACAACATTTTAAAATACGCGAACTGACAGGCAGTGGCACATCCAACACACTGCCTTTGTTCTCTGTATCATTACTTGTTTGTCCATGTTTCTCAAAACATTACGCTACTGTCCTCTAATATGTTTTTCCATCTCGCAGGAGAGGCCTTCGTCGCCGGCCTTGTCGGCCGAGAACTTGCAGCCGACGACGAGCCTGCTGTCGCTGTCCAGCACCCACGAGGGGGCGCCTATCAGCACAGTGCTCCAGAGGGTGTCTCGAGAGAATGAGCGTCGCTTCCTCGTGCACCAGCCCATCTCGTACCCTCCATACCGACGCACCTCGGAGCCATTCGTGTCGACTCCCTCGAAGAGGGCCTTCCCACGACGCTCCGAGTCTGTGTTTGCCTTCTCATCCTCCATGGAGGTCGAGCTGGGCGATGGAGAGGACAAGGAAGCTGAAAGTGGTGACGAGAGCAAGGAGACGACGGTGAAGACGAAAGAACAGGCGACAGCAGGAGGACAGGACGGCGATGACAAGACTGTTTCAGAACAAGACGAACAGGGAGACAACGAAGCAGTCACTGCGGAAGAAAAGCACGCTCAAGAAGGTGACACGCCGAACTGGGCAGGAGGAGACTCCTCAGGCTCGAAGACTTGCGAAAATGGTTGCGGAACGCCTTCACCACCGCCATCTGGCGTGACGTCACCCGCAGGCAATGAAGTCGTGACAGGAGCGAACACTGGTAGTGCTGACGGTCGTCGTGATGGTGGATCGCGATCTTCCACAGCCATGGTTCGAGAACGCGGAGAGGGCGACTTGACGTTGGGGAGTTCGCGGGCGAAGCCGCCTGCTCAAACGAAGCGATCTCGCCTGCATTGTACTCCGGCGCAACTTGCTAACAGGACGCGCGGTGAGTAGATTCATTTGCATACATGAATGTCAAGATTATAAAGAGTGTTGCACACTCGCTGTCCTGGCTACTGGCGGCGCAGACTGATTATCCCAAGTTTAAGCACACACAAACGCCATGAAGTGGATGGGGGGGATAGCCGCCGTAGTAGCTCAGTTGGTGGAGCATCGAACGTGATATTTGAAGGTTGCAGGTTCGGTCCCTGGTATTTGAAGGTTGCAGGTTCGGTTGCAGGTTCGGACAGCAAGTTGTCTTTTCATCCACTTTTCCTTCTTGAACTTTACATTACAATTACTCTTAATAACATTCCCTATACTTTCCTTGTCATGATTGTCCATTAGATCTCGTCAATATTTGTAGTATTGTGTGTCGAACGCGACGCACGGAGAACACAGGGCACGGCCCCGAAGCGCCAGCTGTCAAGAAGTATGCAGCAGCCGGTAGCCAAGCAGGAACTCTCTTTATGTGACACAAGCATCACTATATATACATATGTACAAAGCCCCCTAGGGGCCTGCCAACCGGTTGAAAAACTGGAATTGAAACCCTGACACCACATCATCACCCCTTGTGTTGAAGAACACTTGGGGTCCTACCAGCTAACACATTGCCTAATGATAATGAACATGTGTACAGCATGCATACCAAAATACAATAGTATATCAGGCAAAGACAAATACACAATAGAATAAAAATGTATGGTGTACACAGACAAGTAACAACATGCACAGCGATAACACATAAATAATTGCGCAGCAAACTAGAGAAAGGCAAGACAGGCACCCGCCGCATACCAGCCTATAATCCCCTCCCTCGAGAGAGGATGTCCACATAGTCATTGTTTTGTTTGAATGTACGGCGTCGACACCTGTATTGATGCCATACATGACTGATTCTAAGGCTGTGGTGGTGATTGCTGAAGCGCGCTCTTTTGTCAGGCATCAGCTGGAGGACTCATATGCCGTCCTACGTGCTTGCACTCTAGACGTGAAAACACTGTGCAAAAAAGAGCATCTCTCCCTGGAGTGGCTGTATTATCTCACACCAGCATTTTGTAGAGTTACATGAGACTGCATCTGAAAGGGATTGACATAGTATAACAGTATAATTTGTGCTGTCGCGTTCACTGGTTTGCCCTTGCCATGAGATTGATTTTTACGTACTTGAAAACCACTTTGTGCATCCTGTTCCGTCTTCGTTGGAGCAGTAGTAGTGTTAGTAGTGGTAGTAGTAGTAGTAGTTATGCTAGTAACAGGACCAGAGAGGGGGGAGACATGCGTAAAATGAAATTGTCATGAAATGTATTGGATGCTCCTAATAATGCTTATGACGATAAGCATTTTTTCATTATCATTATTACCGCTTCCTTGTTCGATGGTTTTTCACGGCGTGGAACTGGCTGAACTTTCTACAGAGCCTCTTCGGAGACTTCATAGAAAATGCAAAACACTGTCATTCTGGCGCATTTTAGGGGCAAAGCTTCTTATAGCATAGCTTGTGCATGCCCATTGTGGGTGACCGCCCCTCGTTGATTCTTCAACTTGTCATAGATGGCGATACTTGTACTATACACTGAAAATGCATATGGTACGACACTAGAGGGCGTTACTTGTAGAAAAGAAGAATTGACGTCACATGTACGGAAGGCGAGAGAGACGATCGCGTTACTACGATCTTGCGACTACGTTCCCGTGTTCTTCGGTGGCACAGTATGCCAGGGGGCGCTCTATAGTACAATAAAAGCGCCGTCTTAGCACACGCATTCATTCAGAGGCTCGGGGATGGAGGAAGGACAAGGCTGCTGAGTGGCGTGCACGCAGGGCAGTAGCGGTTCGCGCTAGGAATAAGGAACCCCTAACGTGCGGGCGTGTGAGACAGAAGCGCGCTGCGAGGACCCTGCAGTTCGACAACGGTAGGCCGAAGTTGCGTGTAGACCCAGCTTCGCCCTAGTCTCCATCATTCATCCCGTGGATATGTTGTCATTTTCTTTTCTGGATGCATGCTTATGTATCAGACTGCATTCAGTGTGTGTGTGTGGTAACTGAAGTTGTTCTAACTATGCTTCCTTGTGCTGTGCTTTATTAGGTGTAGCACTGCAACTGTGCTTTCAATCACGTAGAATAATAGAACACAACTTTATTCAGCTGTATCTGGGTGAATATGTGAGATAGGTTATAGCAGTTATACAAAGTGACCGACAATGATGTCTTACAGTGAGCTTCAACACATTGCTAAAATGAAGGTATTGCGCTTACGTGTCACACTTAGTTTCAGTTATCCAGTGTCACTTAGTCTCGTGTCCTCTTATATTTAATTGATCTACACAATGCTCTTGTTGTGTTTCATCAATTAGCCCTTTGTGTGCTGTTACCCCGCAAAAGGTTAGCCTTAAATTAAGGACATCGCAGGAAACTATAGAAAGGAAAATTGTGGTTGTAGCCTCAAGAAGCAAGATGAGTATAAAGTGGGCCAGGAAACAAAAGGGTGTACAGGCCATCTTAACAGAAATGAAGACATGGGCAGGACATGTAGCACAAAGATAAGATTACCGTTGTTCATTGAAAGTAATAGACTGGATTCCAGAGAGGAGGGGGGAAAGAAATAAGCGGTAGGATAAGGAGGTTTGCTTCTGGATTCCAAGACATGCGAATCAAGCGCATGAGAAGGAGGCATATAGTTGGGCGGGCAGATGGGATTTCTTAATCATGACTGTGCATACGTTCTTTCCTGTCCCCAGCACCGACATCAGTCATTCCCATGACTGCCATCTCCCAAGGCGACGTTCACGATCGAGCCTCCACCGAGAGAGGGCCCATCTGTCAGCCGAAAGTCCAAAGGCCTGGAAGCGACCACATCGCTGGACGACAATGAGGATGTGCCGATGCCGTCGTGGTCACATCGCTTCAGCTTGATCAATGAGCGAGAAGCGCACCAGATCGAGTTTGACCATCCACCCGAGGCCTCGTGGAGAAACTGCGCAAGGTTCGAGCATCTACCTGTCCTTTATTGCAATAGCAGTTAGGGGAAAAAAGCAGGCGTAAGCTGGACCATTTGATAATGGTTCTTTCTTTAACATTATAAAAATGGCGAGAGCACCATAGAAGAGAAGAAAACACTGATAATACAAACTATCAGGCAATTGTCAGCACGTGTTTGTGTTTTCTTCTCTTTTGTGCTCTCGTCCCCCATTTCGTGCCGTTGCACCACGAGTTGTAAAGACAGTCCATGAGATGGCTTGTGGACGGCGCGGTCGTCATGATGGTCTGAGTGCCTGTAATCATTCGCCCGCTCAGATATGATGTTTGCACTATAGTAGCATCAATAGATTATTAGCTAGCTCAGATATGCACATTTCTAAGATCGTACTGCCCACCGGGCACCTGCGCATGCTTACCACCAGCATACATGTGCCTGATTGGCTTGTTGAAGGCCGGTCAAACAGATAATACAGCGAGGAAAATAAAGACAGAGAAAGAAAATCATATAGGAACAAAAAAGAGAGGACTTGGCAATTAGGATTGTGCTGAATAGAATTAAATTATTTACACTTGGGTAATCATCACATTACCAATTAAGAACATATTGTTGAAGGCCTTACTATTAACGTATTGCTAATCTTGATCTTCTACTTAAGAACACGCTAACACCGTGGATGAGAACATTGCCTTTAACACTGTGCTACATAGATCATGCTAATTATACCTGTACTAAAATATGCTTTACTAATTAAGAAATTGGTATTAATCTAGATTGGCCAGCCCCCATGGTTGGTCCACCATAGCAGCGACTAGTGCAAATTTTCCAGGCTTTTTGAGTCCTCGTTCGCCTCTTATGCTCACGTGACTCATATGCTGATATGGTCACGGGGCAAGAGAGTCATGTGTATGTATGACTCTTCTGAAGGAACCTCGTGAACTTTCTTCCGAGATCATTATACTCTCAGTATACGCGCCATGTCAGGAATCATCGAAAAACCTGGCACATACTCTCGTTTTTTTTTTCTTAGAATGAGCCAGCTGTCGTCGTGACCGCACGAACCCATATTTGTGTCGCCATGTTTACCAGGAACAACCGGAGGAGTTCGGCACCGACGTCACTGGGCCTGGAACGACAGGTGTCCTTCCTGGATGACCCCGCAAGTGTGACCGGAAGTGCTCTTCCAGCTTGCAGCTTGGTCGGTGCACTGCGGCGCCGCTCTTCCATGCCGTCTGAGCAGCAGCTCATTCATGGTACCTTAGTGCTTTTGTTTTTTAAGCGAAGCTCTTATAACTCGTAGACCTCAATGGCGGTGGCATACGGTGCAGTGCAGAAATGCGGCCATCGAAAGTTTGCCGGCAACATGCGCATTTTGTATGGACGGTTTTCGAATAATCGATGCTCCCTCAAGCGCTTGTCAGAAATCAGCCATTGGCGATACCGCAGTCTCATCTTTTATCAAGGTCACTTGTCGTTTCACGGATCCACGTTTCGTTGCTACCTGAATATTAACACGGGACCATTGTTATCTCCTGTATCTGCTGTTGTGTCTGTGCTCCTCTGCGCGTAGATGGCTGCCCGATCGGCGGCTTATATGTTTATTCGTGTACAGTTGCCCAAATTCTAAATGGCTGCGCGCGAGTGGGCTTTCTTGTGTCTATATTTGCAGGTATGAATGATGAATCAAGTTTCAAAAAGACAGGAAAAGTGCGTGCCGTCAAAGCATGTGCCTACAACATAAATTTATGCAACTGCATTCTACCATATGATGCTGACACAAAAAAGATGCGGCTAAGCGCGATAGCTAAACATTTGGGTGGCTTTACTTATCAAACTTGCATGTATATCAAGCTGGCACATATATATATATATATATATATATATAAGCCAAATCTTTTATCTACTGAGATTCTGCCTCCCAACAGAGGTCGGAGTGGTGTTGATGAGTATATACATATGAGCAGATGACTCGTATGACTAATTTTTACCTGTAAATATATATATATGTATATATATGTACAGGCATGTGTTTTGTAAAAGTCTCTGTGGTGGGACTACTTCTTTACAACTCAGAACTGTGCTGCAGGGCTCCCTTTAACCCTTTTGCGCCAATCGATGGGTATAGAGCTCATGAGATTTTCTGATGAAATGGCTGATGATGACTGCACACGTGAACAACAAAAAATGGCTGCATGCCGAATAAGTGACGGTCGTATTCACTGTAGTTGTATTTTTCGATCTGTGGTTGCCGCACTAGTCTATGCTTCTTCAATAACATTTATTCTTCTTCTTCTGTGTTTCGTCTTTCATGGCACTGCCGTCTCCGAGACCTGTACGTGCGGTATGTTGTTACGCAATTAGAAAAACAAAGACACGTTATTGATTGAAACAATGGGACTGATTTATTAATAAAAAAGACACGTGCAAAGTGCGCAAAAATATCGTTCGGTCATTTTGATTTTGGCGCATTTTTCTTGATTTCTTTTGTTCACAAAAAGTTAAAGTGCACCCTAACCTTCCCGCTCTTGTTTGGTGGCCTCCGCGCAGATCTGAGTCGCTCGGAGCTGGTGCGGCTGGCCGCTGTGTCGGCTCCGGCCGCGGCGCTGGCGCGGCGGCCCGTGCAGCGCGAGCTCATTCCGGCGCCACAGCATCGGCTTCCTGGAGCCCGTGGCCCCGTCGTCCGAGTCCGAGGACGGCGGCGGGTCGTGCGCCACCTCCACGGCGTGCAGCACGCGCCGCGGAAGCTGCGCTCCCCCGCCCCCACACCAGCATCATCCACGCAGGCACTCCAGCATCAGCTCGAGGGACGAGGACGAGACACGCGACCTGTTTCTGCCTTTCGTCCCGGCGCCAGCTGCTGCGTCGCCTGGGTCGCTCAGGTGACGTATTGGATGGGATAGAAGAGGATATGAAAGTGAGGTTACACTACAGTGGAATAGGGCGAGATATGATAGGAGATAGATATGATAGGAGATATGACAAGTCAGGAGAGAAAAAGGTATGATTGGAAAAGGTATGTTAGGATAGCATTGGGTGAGAAGCGATAGAACAGGATAAAAGTGGATATGGCAGCATAGGACTGAATAGGGCTTGCTGAGAGAAGAAAGAGATTAGCTAAGATGGGATAAGCTGCGATGTGATATGATCAGATAAAATCGCATATAACAGCATTATATAGATTATGATAGGACAGGCCAGAGGAGGCAAAAATATGATAGAAAAGGTTAGGGTATGCTGAGATTTGATAGAATAGCTCTGGACTCTAGGACAAGATAGATGAGGACAGGATAAGAGTGCATAGTAGAGCCTAGCATAGGTTACGATATAGGGAACGAATTAGGATATGATGTGACAGGGATATCATAGGATCTGCTAGAATAAGAAAAAATATGGTATGATACAAGAGAGCTTGATATGATATGGTAGTATAGGGTGTGATACTGTGAGAAGCTATTAGAAACAACAGTTCTCTAGAAAGGCGATGAAGACAATGGCGAGCTTTAGCGCTGTGCATTTAGTGTTCGCAATGACTTTGCACATGTCAAAATGCTGCGTTTTGCATAGAGCGCATGTGCACAGCATACAAAGCGCAGCTTTCTTACGTATGCAGCGCGGTTATGGACGCATGTACATAGTACTATCACTGACCAATGAGCATATGATCGCATCTGGCCAAATAGGAAAAAATACGATATGATATGAGAGGACTTGATATGATATGGTAGTAGATGGGATATGGTGAGAAGCTATCAGAAACAAGAATTCTTTAGTAAGCTCTTGTAAAGCAATGAGGACAATGACTGAAACTGCTTTCGTGTTTTTGCTATTCCACCATCTTAGCTGGGGTTGCTTATTTGTGTGTTCTCAGGTGTATTTGTATTTTTTTGTAAATAAATGCATAACTTCCTTTGAGTACCTTCATCGCCGGGGCAATTTTACACGATGGGATATGAGAGGATACAAATAGATAGTATTGATTACGATAGGACATAAAATATCACAATTTGTGATTGCTCGAAACAAAAAAATACGATAGGATATGATAGGTCAATTTACCACAGTGAACAACTCTGTGCAAGGGATGTGTATGATATGTGCTTGCTGGAGTGGTTAAAACCACTCAAGGAAGCACATACCGCTCCTGGGATGTAGCACATATGGCTCCTGGGATGGGATGTGTATGATATGTGCTTCCTGAAGTGGTTAAAACCACTCCAAGAAGCACATATCATGCACATCCCATCCCAGGAGCCATATGTTCTCGTTCAAGCCAGTGTGCTTCCTGGAGTGGTTAAAACCACTCCAGGAAGCACATATCATGCACATCCCATCCCAGGAGCCATATGTTCTCGTTCAAGCCAGTGTGCTTCCTGGAGTGGTTAAAACCACTCCAGGAAGCACACTGGCTCGAACAAGAACAAGTGCTTCAGTGGTACAATTTTATACAGGTTCTAAATCCGGATAAAGGGGTTCCGTTCTATGGAGTCGCTCGTGATTGGCACATTTGAGCCGTGGGGAATGTCGTGACGTTTTATGTCACGTGAGCCAAATTCAGACTGAGGCATTCCGCTCCATCGAGTCGCACAGGATTGGCCCATTTGAGCCGTAACGAATGCCGTGATGTTCCATGTCACGTGAGCCAAGGAGTCACGTGTCTGCTTTCGTCTGTTTCTTGGATGGAGGTGAAGGAACGGTCAGAGAGACCGTCCGAAACGAGATAGAAAGATTGAAATGGCTGCGAGGTGGCATGGATTAGATTTAAATGTGAGCGCTTCGTGCCTTTCTGTATCCGGATACTTTGAGAACATGGCGTTGCAGCGGGCCTCATGCACTTACGCTGTGGTTCAATCCCCCCTTCGTTGTCATAGCCACCCGGTCTGTCTGTCCGTGTCCGTTGTTGTAGGCAGACAGACGGACCGACAGACAAACAAACAGACGAATGGGCAGACAGATGGATGGACAGACGCACAGACAAACAGACAGACACAGACAGACAGATGAACGGACAGACGGCAGATTTCCCATTTACCGGTAAAACCCTTTCAATCCTCACCCCACTAATCATCATTCACTCCGTGGTGTTACGAGCATGCTGTGTTCCTTGCAGAGACACTGAGTGCATTCTTTGCAAGTCGGAGATACGGCAGGCGTCCCATAGAGACGCTCGACGTGTCTCTTTTCACATGGGGCACATCAAACAGCGACACTGGATACGTCACATTTCCATTGCGCTCAAATGGTCCTCAAGTCAACGTCAAAATTGTGACGCAGGCCTCCATTTTTCTTATTGGCTGTTCGTTTCCCCTCGTCCTCGCGACCAATGCGGACCATCCATTTTTGGACGTAATGAACGAAACGCCTCCGTCTGAATTTGGAACGCATATAAGATCGCCCCACAGGAAGCCATCAGCCTCATGGGAAATGCATCAAACGACTCAATGCTCTTGGTTGAACATGCTGCAATGAAGGCGGTTGTAATCTTACACACTATTGAAGAACTCCTGTTTGGAAATTTTTTTAAGGAGCAGAGAGAGAGATTTGGAAAGAATATCACAAAGGATTCATGTATAATGCACTTGGAACACCTAAACATCAAGTGGTGCCCTAATATTTGCTCCATGCAGTCCGTCTCGAATTCTGAAGAAGCCGGGAAAAACATGTTTATTGCAGACTGCATTCAAGTTAATAAAGCACACTGCACCACCTTGCCCCCGTAACTGGTTGATGGCTGAGAAGTCGTCGTCTGTCTAGGTAGACATGCTGTTTCGTGAAGTTAATTGAACCTCAGCTGCTGCATTATGTGTCGGGTCTGTTTTCATAGAGGAAACAAAAAAGTGGTAATATGTGCTTGCATTAGCCCGGACCCTTAATGCGATATGGTCTTAAGTGGCGCTTGTGTGCTTCCTGTCTTGGTTCATTACTTAGACTGCAAGCTACCTATAAGCTGTCAAAATAAGCCGGCACCAGTTTTGGCCAGAATCAAAGCACACCCTCTGCGTTTCACATTTTCGGGCGATTTGTGAAAGAGCATTGACAGGTGGAGATTCAGCTTGCTGGTTGAACAGCGGAACTTTAAGCCAGCAAATGTTTTCTGTCAACAACACTCCTGTAAAGCATGGTCTTCTACACTTAATGTGTTACGAATGCCAAGCAGACATGATTGGGCAGGCATTGTTTTCGTGTACATCTCTTGGCTTAAACTACTGAAGTCATTAAAACTCGCTTGAGGGACCGACGAAGGTTTTCTGCTCAGTCGCTCCCGAATACCGTAGATGACTGTGATGAGTAAAGGAGAGGCTTGAGGCACATGCCGGATGTGGAGGCGCGGTGACAGTGTGCGAGGAGAAGAGAGTCACTCGAGTGCATGCGCACCAGCTATATAGACACAAGAGATTGTGGAGAAAGGCTTGTGGCACGCGACCCGAGCCGAGAAGAAAAATTCCAGAGCATGAGCTGGCACATGGGCGTTGGGACGCCAAGCTGTGAAAACGTAGGAAACGACTGTCGCTACTGTGATGGAAGCAGTAAAACTGCCTGGTTCTGAGGATGTCGGCGAGAGGTTCAGTGAGCGGCCGTCGATATCCGAAGAATTGAGTGGGGCTGCCTGGACTTGCTGCAACCTGTCCCAGCAGTTCCTGGGTGGACTACAGCTCCTCCGCTTCGATCCAGAACGTATGCGGCCCGCACCACAGTCAAGACGCCGTTGAGGAGTTAGGCCTCGCTTAACTGAGCCGGAGCATGATGAACACCGGAACCAACAAGCAATGAGGTCAAGTGGCTCGTATGGCGACCTCTTCTAGGACGACTTTGACCACGCTATTACTTCGACGTAGCTTCGAGGGTGGCATCAGAACAGCAAGAATGTTCTACTACTGCGAGAGTGCACGAGAGTAGCCATCGACACGCCATCTTGGCTAGGGACAGTTCAAGTCTTAGGAGTGAACTATACTTGGATCAGTGTTAAGTACAGTATTACTGTATAGCTGATTATTGTGTATGTACTTGTTCCTTTTTTGGAGTAAATTTTGAGTGTCAGATTTTCGCCATATTGGGTAGTATTAAAATAATTTTGTCGTGTTACCGCCAACTCGTGTCTTTCTGTCAATCAAGCTCTTCATAAGCACTCCCAAGATAAAATTTGTGACAATGACTGGAAGACGGAAATTCACATTCTTTTCAAGCGTACTTTTGCAGCGCACTTTCGCAATTGCATTCCTGTAAAGCGTGCTTTGTTGCATGTAAGCTATTAGGGAGGCAAAGCACACTTGTGCGGGAAGTCATTTTTTCAGGCGCGTGCATTTACACAGGTAAAATGCTGATGATAAACTGAAGACTATATGCTTGCCAGTTGCTAGCCTATTCCGATCGGTATCTGGAATGCAAAGATGAATATTGTGAGTTCTCAGGCAGTAATTATCACCAATAATGAATTCTTGCCGTTACATTTTTTGTAAAGCTTGCTTTTCTATATTTGGTATTGTTTTGAGGTGAAGAAAACTTGTGAGGGCAAGTAAGTATGTCGCAGGGCCTTTCTCTGTGCATGCTTGTGTGCGTGTGTGCTGCCGCGAATTTCGTTATGGGAGAGTAGATTACATCACGAAAACAACCTATAGGAGAACTTGCACAAAACTGCTTTCAAAATTGATTGTATTCATTCCAATACTGTTCGTTATGGAAATGATCAACTTGGTGACATGTGTTCCAATTGATGCATTGCACGCACAAACTGTTTGTCACTTGTGTGCCAGAATGTCTCATTGTTAGCAACCGTCCTTTCTTTTTTCTCACTTTGTAGACGACGTCGGGGGTCTCTGCCAGCTGACGTGCCCCTGCCGCTCATGGTGTGCACTGCGGAGAAGCCGCAGCAGCAGGGCAGTCGAAGGGTGGTCTCGAGAACCGGAGGTGCCAGCGACGCGTTGGATACCACGAGAAGGCGTGGCTCCACGGGCGAGATACTGAGTGCCCTCATCGGTCCCTATGGGGCACTGCACGCGTTGCAGGTAATCAAATGGCCTCAGTCACGCAATGTACATGAAGCGTTCTTGTTAGCGCGATTTAGGATGGTGTATCATTTCGTGTTGACACATTTCTTATGCAAAGCTGTGCGAGGCCAGATAGAGAGCCGACATAAGCTGGGAATTCGCAGCCTTTTCCCTCACACTTCCAGGCATTTTGTGATAAAGGAATGCTCATAGTCATAGTGGAAAACAGTGCGATACACCAAAGTAGAGTCAGACCTAACAGTGCTAGCACTGACTAAAAACTCCTGCTATTTATCTTGGCTATTGATTATAACCTTGGTGATTCCGTAGTCCATTTTATTACAACTGAAGAACAGTTGGTTACATTAAAGCATATTCAGTCGTTTCCTCAGCCTGAACAACAAGATGCCGCTTTCACACTACACTTGTCTGAAGCACTCTTTCCTTGTGCAGAACCTTCCTCGGCGGGGCTCGGGTGGTGGTCTGGAACTGCTGAGTGGCCTGTGGCGTTCGCGTACCCTGCTTGGCTCGGACTGGTCGCCTAGTGGCGCGCCGCCACAGCCGGTGTCGGTGGCCGGTCGCTTCAAGCTTCAGAGGCAGGCCTGCTCCCTCGAGTCGACCAGCGTCCAGTCGACGTGCTCGTCGGCTGCGGGCAGCATATTCAGCAGCCAACGTAGGGGCTCCTTCCCGCAGGAGTTCTCTCTCTTCTCGTTTAGTTCAGGTGAGTTGACGGGTGGTCTGCACGGATCTCTTGTCTATGAGTCGAGGTCGTATACAAATATGAAAAGCTGAATGGTTTTGTGACTAACGATAGGTGTGGTCAGCTGAGCCATATGTCTAGAGAGCCATGTTATGTGCACTTATGAAAGATATGAAGGGTTTTCTTGTCTAACAAGAGCTGTTCAGTTACCCGAACCATGTGTCTTCAGGAGTCTTGTTATTCTCTTATGAAAAAAAAAAAACTATGGACACTCTCCCCAAGGGAACCATGATGGGATGCGAAGCAACAGCGATGTGCACGGCGTAGACTTCGTTGAAACGGGCATCAACGCGGGTGCTGGAAGAACGGTTTGAAGCGAAACTCGGTGTAGTGTTTACTCGAGTAAACGTTTATTTGAAACACAAGGACACAGGAGGCGGGACTTATTAAAGACACTTGCACTCGGCTACCTTGGCTCGTGTTATGTCGGTGTTACTCGCGCGCCATCTATATTCTCAAACGTGATCGATGTTCTTGACTTGTACCTCATCGATGCTGCTGGTCTTCCACTGCCGAAACTTGCATTTGGCTTCCCTGGCTCACGCTTCGTCAGTGTTGACGTCGCCATTCGCCAACGCGATCGGATTCACTAACCCTCGCAAGCCCGGCGGCAGCCGGGAATGGTAGCGCACACTAGCGGGAAACATACCGCGACGGCATCCCACCCATCAGCGCGATCGCGCCGCTGTCCACATTGTTGGCGCCGTGAGATTCTCGAGCTGCGACGTGCGACAACATGCATGCGCTCCTGAGGGAAGGCGTGAGGTACTTGGCTGCTTCGCATCTAAAAGCTGAAGGTTCTTTTATATAACAACTGAGCAGTTGGCTGAGCCTAATGACTTGAGAAACTATGTTATATACTTGGGGAAAATATGAGCGTTTTTATCAAAAAGCTACACCTGAGTAGAGAGCTTGTGTAGTTTTACTTACCGAAACCAAGATATGACTATGAGGGATGCTGTAGTGGAAGGCTCCAGAAATTTTGACCATCCGGGTGTTCTTTATTAACTTGTGAGTAGCAAGGATAGAGTTATAATTATGCACCTATAAAAACCCTTAAGGGTTTTCCTCATATAACAGCTAAGCAGTTAACAGCTAAGTAGTTATGTTATTCGCTTGGGAAAAACGTGGAACGTTTTAATAAATAGTGACAGCCGAGTGCAGGAACTGAGCTATATATTTCGAGGCATTTTTATAGACTTATCACACAGCTAATGGCTTTTATAATTTAACTATTGTAACAACAACTGAGTAAGTAACTGAGCCATATTACTCAAGGAGTTGTTATACACTTAGAAAACAGAATAAGGGATTCTTAAGTAATCACAGTCAAGCATTTCATTGATTAAGGCACACGGGTGACAAAATATCTGAAGGTGCTTTACATTTGTGTAGACTTGCTGTAGTAAGTCAAAGCCTCTCCTGCACATTTTGCTCGTACCGCTACTGCTTGTCGATTGCAACTGCTCACCAACCACTGCGCATCAATTATAGTGTCAGACACACATTGCTGAATTCTGCCCAGGAATAATACTATGCTTCCTAACAATGACTTCAGCTTAAAGCTTTTGAGTCAACTCGTGTGAAGTATGAAGTTGAGTGGGGCTTTGCAGCACCACTGCCTGCTGGGAAAATTTCTGTTAGGTTGGAGCAGATTCACCACATTAAAGAAACCGATATTTCCATGAGCCGCACAGCCTTCCTAGAGTTCTAGCAGTCTGCTTTAGCAATAGAGATGTTAATTTATTTCGATGTGATTTCTGAATACTATGGTGGGTATTGCCTTGAAACTCCTTGTTCAATAGCATTATAGTTAGTACTGCCATGAAATACTATGGAGTTTTCAATACAAGCTATGAATGTTCTCCACTAGGTACTGGGACTATCATTTCATTTATCTGTGTCTGGCTTCCTGCTGATGTTTGCACAAGTTTCCTTAGCCTTCTTTTCTATGCATTGCAAGTGGCAGGTGGTTATTTTCATTGGTTAACATTAGAATCCTTCGTTTTGAAGAACCCTTATTCTGGGTGGTTCAGCTGTTTCTGCATTCAGCTTGTGATTGTCAAGATAATCGACACTTCTTCTCAAGCCGTATAGCAGTGAGGGTCTTTTTCTGTGAAGGGTAAACCACATTTGCACCTATTTCACATCCTTTCGTGTCTCAGCCATCGAGTTGATATTTGTGTGCACGCCCAGCGACGTTACATAGTTCCTAACCATACATGTGCTGTCTTTTCTTCCATGGCTAAAACAGGAGAGCTCTACTGCTGTGACGATGGTGGCGGAGGTGACTAAAGCCTCGTCGCACCAATCCTTTCATGAGGAATGAAAAGAGACAGCCAAGCTAATTCACGGGGCAAAAACAACCTTCACAGCCAGCACCTTTTACAAAAGAGTCATCCGCATCACGTAGGAACACGAAACAAAAAAAAAAAAAACAATATACATAAACAGTGTATATACATATATATATGACTATACACATGCATGAGCAGCAACACACTGCCGAACAATGAAAAATCTTATTCGAAAGGGCGCCACATCTTTGGCGTGCTGTCACGTGGCAGTACAAAAACTATGCAAGCGCGGGAACAACGCCTGTCTCCGCCACTGCCGCCGCCAAGCCAAGCGACTAGCCAAGTCAAGTGACTAGCCAAGTCTTCTCCGAAGACGCATTCTTTCCACGAGAGGGATTTCACTGCAACCAATCAACCAAGCCCAGTTAATTGTTCTACTGCTTCTGTGTGTGTTGTTCGGATCGTCGCCGGTGGCCAGCTCGGAACAGTGCGTGGAATAGCTGTCGTGTTGAGTGTGCAGCCCACTCGCGGCGTGCGAAGTCGCCGCATGCCGTGGTCCGACCCCCAACTGGTTGTCCTGAACCCGTAGCACTGACTACTAAATGTGGGGCGTGCAGTGGTCTGTGTTCTAATTTCCTTCGTGTTTTTGTTTGTGACACCATATCAGACAAGAGACTGGAGTTGACTGTCTTAATGCCCCGGTAATTTGTGTTTTTAATTCCTTTCGCCCTTTGAGATTGTTCACATCCTCCTTACAGCGTGTGTTTGCACGTCTTCCTTCCTCTTAAATCTAGAGTGTGTGGCGAGTGTGATGTCCAGTTTTAACACGTGTTTGGTGTGATTGAAAAGTGATCGTCAGCATGACGTGTCGTGTGACCTGATTTAATTTTTTTTCTTTGATTAAGATCAACAGGGTGTGCCCATGTGCTAGAGATGGGATGATTGTTAACTGCACGCAGTTATCGCAAAATATTTTCTTTTCTGCTTCTTAGAATGCGGTGGTTGTCGTGCTCGAGAGGAAACGCTACCAATGCAGATTTTTATGCGCGGAGCGATCCTGCGTGTTCCCTGTGGGTTTTTCGTTTCACAATGCACATCGCAATTATTCGAGCACGGGGGTCACGTAAGTTTAGGAACACAAGTTACCCTCGCACTTTTACTTTAGAGGAATAAGCACATCTAGCCTTAGTCATCGATCATCAGTGATGTTCGTTCGTTGTTGCCGTCATTCATGATTTGTGTAGAGATGAGTACCTGAGCATCAGCCATCAAATTTAAAGCTTTGTGCTTCTTTCGCATTTCAATGAAAGTGCATTGTGTGATGGGGTCTTTATTAGGCTGATCAAAGCGAGTCCTCAATCACACTCCACAAAGAAAAACACGTAAGAAACACTCGAGCAAATTCGCAGGATGGTATGCTCGAGTCATCCACGAGTTCCTGTTTTTTGTGTTATGGAGGAGCGAGCTACAAAATCTGAAACAGGGCTCTAGGATGATCACTAAGTTAATTGAAGGGGCAATCTGAAGGTCGTGATTCTTGGGTGGCTAAAGCTGGAAAAAAATTTCCTAGTAGTATTGTCGATCCTTCATGGCTAACACATTTGACACTGTGCCGCATCTCTTCTGGATTCAAGTACATTACATTGAATTTCTCCCGATTGCTCAAAGTCCAACACATGAGGACTGAAAAGCTCTGGAAACTGGTCCAGTGTGTTTCGTAATATCATTATATTCAAGTTCTTTTTTTTGAGTGTTTGTGTGTTTTGAGTTTGTTTGTCACCTTGTGGTTTAATTATTGCCTTTCGTTCTTCACCACTGTTTTCACATTGTGTTCACTTAATTTGGTGCATTTTTATGTTATGACATGTGTTCTTTTTCTGAGTAATATCGGATGCCCGAAGCAGCTCCTCTGTAGAAGGTATGGGTTAACGGGTCACGGAAACTTTGTCCGCAAGCTTTCCTGCAGAATTTCCAAGTTTATTTAAAACTTTTAAGCTGCCAATGATGCTCCTACGACTATCGGTGTCATTTCAGTGGGAGGAAATCTGCGAGCACAAAAGGTCACTTGTAGAAGATGCATATATGCCTTCGTACTTCAGATGAAAAGGCCAATCATGCAAAAAATGTGTCACTGAAACACATGCCTCAAATATGGCTGTTTTGTTCACATGAACAACGGTTTCTCTTTTTTAGGTGAAAAGGCCGATGATTTGTCAAATGCCTAATTAGGTCTGTAACGTGTAAAAATGTACTACCCTTGGGCTCAGATGACCAATGCTTTCTCTGTTAACCTACCGTTGGTCATTTCTGTGCAAAAAACGCAACACGTGATTCTCTCAGAAGTACAGAGTTGTAGGAATAGAACAATAGACTTAGCAGGTAATTTGTATGAACCAGAGTTAACCGAGTGCCATAGACACTGTTCTGAAAAATGCAAGTCACTGGGAGTTAGTCTCTTGCTGGGCTACTTGTGCATGAAGCTTTCCTTATGACCTGTCAAATGTCTTGAGATTTCATTAAATGCAAAAACCTACCTCTTTAGAGAACAAAGCGTGTCGCTTTTTGTCTTCTTCACTATCGTTTGTGCATTAACAACATGCACACACACACGTATTAGCACATCTTGCAGAGCTGTGCAAGTTACAGCAGGGTACTAAGGGTGCTTTCTTTTTTAGCAATGCTGTAATCTTGAGCAGTGCTTTGGATATACATTTATGTAAGGAGTGTGCAGATGCTAAGAATTCTAAACTATGGGATTGTCACCTTACCAAAGGCTGATGTCAAAGTGTTCAGGGTGTAGAAGTTACTTTAAATTTGAAGCAATGCTTATTGCTGTGTTGGGATGTTATTTTAACTTCGGCAGACGTGGCCCATTTCCTGAACCAAGATGAAGTACTGTCAGAATGTTGCTAAGTAAACTCCGATTCTTGAGGAGCTAGACCTTGAAACGGGTCAGCTGAATAATGTCTGGGATAAACTAAATTCTACACAGAGTAGGCTAGCTAGAATACTTTGCAAATGTGGTACAGGTCTGTGTAGAAATCTTGCTCGTGCACTTGGCAAACATGGAGAAAAATTAAGTTCAGTCTTATTATGCTATCTGCTATTCTGTCTCTCGAATGCAGTTGCTGCTTCTTGAATCCTTTCTGTTTATGCATGTTTAAGTTATTTTCATATTTTTCGTTCTCTCTTTCACTTTGCATCATTTTTGGTTGCTGTTTCTATTGCTTGTGTTTTTTAGGTGGAACACAGATCAATGAAGCTAGAGCAGAGCCACTCATGCTCAATGCACGACTCGAGATCAAGTGTGAACATTAGAATCAATTGGTATAAATGGTAAACTGCATATAAAAATTGAATTATTGACTGCATCATGTTTCAGTGTTAGCCTGAGAGTCTGTCCTGCTGTTCACACAAGGGGTTTAATGTACCCTGAAATTGAAATCACAGCACTGGTATCATAGGCATTCTGCTTTAGATGTCAAGTTCAGGAAAATAATTGCTCTTTTCAACTCTTGGGTTACAACTTACCTTTTTATGCCAAAGATATTCATATAGTGGACAAGGTGGACACTCATAAAGCTAAGCTTGCTTGCTTACTGCGCAATTTGCTTATTCTGTTAGTGTCTCTTTGAGTTATTACCCTGCATAGGACAGAAATGAGCCATTAAGTAGTATTTTTGTACTATTGCTCTGAAGCTCACCTTTGCCGTGCTTACCTGGTGATTTGAGCGCTAGTTGTGCTGTGGTAAGAAGTTCTTCAGTCATATTCTCTGAATTTCTTGTAGCATCGCAAGGCTTAGTGCTAAAATGTAAGCTTGGACTAACTTCTGTTACATAGCGGATGAGCAGCCGTGTTCAGAACAGAAGTCGTGCAGGATGTCCCCTGCTTGTCTTTTCTGCAGAAGTCCTTGTTTCTTGCTGTGGATATAGATATCTGTTTGCTCACACTATTTGTGCTGGAATCTTTCAAACGTTTATTTGCCCCCACTGCCGCTTTACGTCGTGCATTTCCTCGCCATTCGGAGTGAAGCTGTTTTTTTACGTGCTGTAGCATATTAGCTCGGCTGTATTTTCAAGAGCGCCGGTATATTAATTATTTTTCCGGGAGAAATAACCTGAAGCTTGAGAAACAAAGCCAAGTATCTCTGTTCATACGTGCTTGAGTCACGAATACACTCAAACCTCATTATAACAAAACCGCATCTGCCACAAAAATACTTCTTTATATCCGAAAATTCGTTATAAGCAATTACTAGTAACACTGTGGCTATGGCAAAGCTATTGGTCTCTTGCTTCATTATAATGGATAATTTGTTATATCCGAATTTGTTATACCGACGTTTGAGTGTATTCACATACACAGTGGTATTTTCATGAATTGTCTAAAGAATCATTACTAATGTTCACATGCTGAACTGGCTTCGGGAGCATTAGCTGCTTACCGAACGATGCTCTAATGTTTTGGAAAGTCTGGGCAACCTCAACATATAAAAGAAAAGGTTTAGAAAGAGTGGATGATGTGTGACTCGGTGTTAGCCACTGGTTTAGAATCCTAAAATAGGGCGTGTTAACAGTGTGGGGTGTTCCATTAATGGTACTGACCTGCACATCTGCGAGAGCATCGTCTGCGCTTGCGCACCAGCCTACACTCATGTACATCGCTATTTTAAATCTAAATTAACTCATCCCAAGATATTCTGGTTCATTGGCATTAATTTGTCATCACACGCCATGTTATTTGTCCCTATATCTCGACTGCTCAATGTAAAGATGAACGTGTTCTTTATACATTACCAAGGAACAATATTTGAACAAAGATTCCTTGCAAATGCTTTCATTCTAAGGATGATGCTATAAGCGCCGCAAAATGTCCAGAGAGTGCATGGATCACCTTTAGTTGAACCACAGCAGCTTTTTCAAGGACTCAAAATTATAAGTCATATCCTTAAACACTCTTTCATGCTACACGTTAGACTTGCGCGGGAGTTTGAAAACTGCTGTAGTGCGGCGTCTGAACACCAACACAAGAAAAATTCAGATAGTATCACACCCAACAATCGTTTAACTATTGCTCCTTTTTTGTTTAGTTTGGGAAAGGTATCACTTGATAGAAACGTGCCATGGCCCGTGAATGCGAGTGTGGTTGATAATGTGTGCTACTTTTGTGGATCACCTGTTTGCATTTTCATGTACGAGTAGATTTAGAATGACGTCTCAAGGGACCCTTTATCGTACTGCGTGACACTTTCAAACAACTCATCATCCGACAAAGCACCTTTTCCTGATCAACAGAGCTTGGCAAGTTGAAAAGTCTATGCCTATGTGAGCTATAAACACAGCTCACATTGAGTTCAGCAATTGGAAAGAGAATCTGGAGAGCATGTAAAGTTGCCTTATTCACTCTTTTTTTTTTCTGGTGTTTCTTGGATAAATTCAGGGAGTACTTTGACAGCAAGAAAAATGTAAATTGGGAATTAGACTACTTAACAAAGTACTTCTAAGTTTTGGCAGTAATTAATGCTTGAACCAACAGTAGTTTGAAGTTTATTTATTTTGTGAGCAGAAAGATGCACAAGAGCCAAAGGTTGTGGGACATGATTCAGCTTCTTGCTCATATGTTCATTTTGCATGCATGTAGTTGATGATCTACAATGCAGGAAATACAAGTAAAATAATACAGGTAGTAAAGTATATATAGACTGAACACTTCTATGAAATTAAATTATTTCTATAGGTTTTCAATTAGTCCTATGGCCTGCAACATTTCTTTTTTTAATCATAGAATAACCGTGATTTATGCAGCTCAGGCTATGGAGGAGCTATATATGCTATCTTGATTACAGGATAAAGGCACTCTGAAGACTCCAGCGTCACCGAAGTGACAGAGTAATCAATGCACTATCTTCATCGTGACATTCATGATGTGTTCTCATTAAAGGACCCCTGACAGAGAAAGTTTTGTTTGCGAGTTTTTTTACAGTAATTTGTAGCTTTGCAACTGGTAATGCCGAAATTATATCGTAAATGCTCTAACTCATCGTATAAAATATGTTAGGGTTGTTAATTCAGAGCTATTTTCTGCCAGTTCGAAACGCCCGCCTAAATACCATAAGAAACTAGCGTCCCACAGCAGAGCAGCACCTGAGACTGTTTTCAAATAGATGGACCCGCGTGTACTGAAGAATGAAACGATGTGGGGGCTTTGAGCGTGTCCCCCTCGGAAAAATGAACAGCATTCCTGGCGTGAGCAGCCAAAACCACCTTGAGAGCAGCCCTACAACAGAGTGGGAGGGGTAACGAACAATAGCCCTCGTCGGGTGCCATTCGGGGTATTGTGCGTGCCCCGCAAATGTTGACCCTGCAATGTCACAAGGGGAAATTCCTTCCAAGTCAAACCATAGAAAATGTCAATTGCACCTGAATACTCGGAAGAGCATGCACCCTTACTTTAAAACCAAATTAAAATATCTTCTAGGCTACGGACGCCACTAGTAGTCGGTCAGAGGTATCCCCGCATGCAGAACTATCAAACAACACAAGCATCTCGAGTTTTCAAATTTGGTGTCGGGGGTCCTTTAATGTTGTTTCATATTTGTATATCAATTCTATAGAAAAGTTTGTGACAAACTGCCATGTTGAAGAACTATAGTCACCCCTGTATTTCAATCTGCAGTTACAAAATATTTCTAAGGCTGTAGTTGCTGCTGTAGACGAGCTTGCCTGAGTTTACAGAATCAGTGTTTTTGTTGTCGCTTAAATGTAATCGTATTGTTCCTTGGTTACAGTTAGTTAATATTAGTTTCAAATAAAATGTTATTGATTTATGTGGCTGTCTATAAAAATGGTTCCATAACGGTTCTAGGACTGCTGGAAAAATGTTTGCCTTACTATTTCAAAAACTATACGAACGGCATTTGATTCATATTTCTATACGATTCGATGCCATCACTATTTGATTGGTATTCCATTAGGTTCTGAAATTGATTATTCGCACACATCCCTGGCAAGGAAAGGGCACAGTAGATTACTTTCATAACCCATTAGGGTAAAAGATTGCTTAACTTATTTATACAGCTTCGTACTTTGCTAAGGTCATTGGTTAGCATGCGGACATGATTGTCCCAAGCTAGATTTTCATGAAGCCATACTATGAAAAGTTTTCGCATTGTTGCTCATTCTAGGCATTTTGATTGAATAAAGCAGTTACATTAACTTGCATTGCTTTATTTAAAGGTTCAAATATTACAAACTTTGTTTTGTTGGCATTCAATTGCAGGGCAACTACATTAAAGAAACTTGATATTTAACTGTAATTCATGTGACGCTTCCACACGTAAGACGATACGCATCTAGCCTTTTTTTTTTTGAGCTGGATTCTGAAAAGAGAATATTTTCAAAAACCATGTTGCTATGGTTATGGCAAAGACCAAAGAGACTTCTTAGCACAAGGTCTGGTGGTCTCGATAGCGTGCTTTGTCTCGACCAACATCATTCATCGTTGATTACCTGCTGCGAACGTCACTTTCTTTGTTCCGCAGCATAAGTGA